TGTTGTGAGGTCTGATTGAGAAAAGACGACGAGAACGCCGGAGAATCAGGATTTTTGATTTTACTCAGTGCTACTGCGAATGGGTTTTTTCTTTTAAAGGATTTGATTAGGGATTTTGAGTTGAGGTTGGGATTTTGTGGGTTTTTTCTCGGAGGTGATGTTGGATCTGAAGAGATAAAATTCTTGTCGGAAATCAGCATTGTTGTCGGAAAATGGAGACGATTTGTGTAGCGGCGTTTATCTTAGTTTCACTGATATTACTTCCGAATCGTTCACTGTGGTTTGCCTCTGCTAATTTGGAAGGTTTGTGGTCCGCACTACTCAACGCTTACTTCTAGGAATTTTTTGGTTTGTGTTATAGAAGTTCTTTGTATGTTCTGAAACTTCTCTTGATTGTTTTCTATTATTGTACTGAGAAGATTGTTGTTCTTGGTATGTTTAGATTTTTAGTGGCCGTTACTGTGAATCTACTGTTGCTTTCCTTGTTCAGATCACTATGCCAAGTTTCTTCTTTCCGTGTCAGCTTTGTGATTCCTTTGATCGTGTCTGTACCAGCTTGAAGCTTATATTGTTTGTTTGTAGTGGGTCTTGAAACTGTGTAGAGCTTTAGATTGTTAATCCAAACATTTTCTGACCAGACTTCATTAGTTTAGATGTTATATCAAATCTGTTGGATTATTAGTCTCCCAATCTCAGAGAGACCTGTTTGGTTAGTTCTCTTGAAATTAGACTTTTTTAATACTAAACTTGTAGATTTGTGGTTCTTGTTACAGGTGATGCATTGCATACTTTGAGAGTCACTCTAGGTGATCCAAACAATGTCTTGCAAAGCTGGGATCCTACGCTTGTGAATCCTTGCACGTGGTTCCACGTCACTTGCAACAACGAGAACAGCGTCATAAGAGTGTAAAAGCCTTCGACTGATCCCTCTCTTTTAACTTTTGAATCTCGATGTGCTTTCATGACATTTTTATTTCTTTTGTCAACTACTACAGCGATTTGGGAAATGCAGAATTGTCTGGCCATTTAGTYCCAGAGCTTGGTGTGCTCAAGAATTTGCAGTATTTGTAAGTCTCACTTATGCGCCATGTTTGAGTTTGACAAACCAAATCCAATGTTTTATATTAAATGCACCGAGGTACCTGTTGTAATCCAATGTTCTTATTTTCTTAMAGGGAGCTTTATAGTAACAACATARCTGGAYCGATTCCTAGTAATCTTGGAAATCTGACAAACTTAGTGAGCTTGGATCTTTACTTAAACCGCTTCACTGGTCCCATCCCTGAATCATTGGGAAAGCTTTCAAAGCTGAGGTTTCTGTGAGTACAATTGCTTTACCGTCTCTGTTACAGTCTTGTTTTATCTATCGRTGTGGTCCCAATTTTTTKACTCTTTGCTGAAAATTTTGCACRCAAGAACAGTCGGCTTAACAACAACAGTCTCACTGGATCTATTCCCATGTCACTGACCAATATCACTACCCTTCAAGTGTTGTGAGTTTTCTCATCAACTTTCATTTATGTCTGTTTTATTCTCCCTCAATTGATTCGTTTGAGTTGATGCTCTTAATCTTGTTGGATGCAACACAGAGATCTATCAAATAACAAACTCTCTGGTTCGGTTCCTGACAATGGCTCCTTCTCACTCTTCACACCCATCAGGTTATACATCTATATCGTTTTCAGTTATTGTGTCAGTGTCTGAACTTATTTGCATCTGAAATTCTCATTTCCTTGTGCAGTTTTGCTAATAACTTAGACCTCTGTGGACCTGTTACAAGTCATCCATGTCCTGGATCTCCTCCGTTTTCTCCTCCACCACCTTTTATTCAACCTCCACCGGTTTCCACCCCAAGTAAGCCGCCTCTTTTCAGTTTACATCATAGGAAACAGAAGATGAGATCTTTGCTTCTSATATAACCATCTTGCCAATAAACAAATTGATAATGTATAAGCTTTTTGATGCGTCTAATTTGATTTCAGGTGGGTACGGTATAACTGGAGCAATA